CTTCTTTATTTTCCTTCAAAGAACAGCGCTAATCAAATTCAAGAACACAATATTTATAAATTTCAATAATAAAAAAAAAAAAGCAATAGTAGCATAACAACCGAAAAACACAAACCCCATTGGAACATATTAGTTTTAGTCATTACTTTCAAAGAATAATAAACTGAATGCATCTAAGTAAGTAAAGGAGAAAATCAAGTAAAATTTTTACTTGGAATGGAAAGAAAACTAAAAAGCATAAATAAGTAAACAACTTATCTTGAAGTATTTAGAGAGAAAAGTTGGTGACAAAAAGAGCACTTGCCGAACTCATAAGAGAAAAAAAGAAAAGGCTGAGTGGATGCAACGGTGACTCGATAAAACTAAGATTTAAGTCTGAAATAATATTAAAGACTAAAGAGAAAAGGTGGAGTCGAAGTTTGAAAATCAAAGACTGTATGAACTATGAAAGTTAAAAAATATGTGAAGAGTTTGAAGTTTGAAGAGTTAGAGTTTTCGAGAGTATTAGGGCGAGCAAGAATAGGAAAGGTCGGAAAGTGAGTTATAAGTGGAGTGAAATTATTTTTACTTCAAAAAAATGATGAGGTAAGAGAATCAATTAGTTAATTATGGAATATTAGTCAATTATTAGAGGTTTAGGTGGGATTGGGAGTTGAAAAATAAAATAAATAAATAATAAATTAAAAAATTTTATATTTTTAAATGAGTAAACAGGTCAAACCTGTTAACCTGATTAGTCAACCCGTTATTAACTCGTGATTCGTTGAGTTCTCTTAACGGGTCATGAATCATAAATATATTACCCTAATCTGTTTTAAACGAATGAATAATGTACGGATTAATGGATTGGGTAAAAAATTGTTAAGTCTAGTTAGTGAGCGAAGGACACCACGAGATGGGCCGCAAGGGTGGACTGAGCACCATAAATGAGTCAGGTGGAGAGCGCGACGCAAATGAGGGAATTCAGATTGATGAGTCCAAGTTCAGGACCCGAAGCTAGCTAGCACCAGTTCCTTTATATGTATGTATGGTCAATGGACTTGTTTAGAAGGAGTCGGTTGTTTCTCAGCGTTTCTAATGTAGGCTGTACTGGTCACTGCCCCTCTAAGCATGCAGTAACGTTTTACTTTCCACTAAATAAAAACTCTTTTAAATAACTTTTTTCGTACATTTGTAAAAAAAAATTTGAGAGAATAATTTTTTTTTTGATACATATAATAAAGTGTCACTTACGGTTATTGTTTTTGAATGGATTATAATTTTAGAAGAGAGATTTAAATTTCAAATTTAAAATTAAAAAGTGCATTTTATGATAAAACACCTTAAAATGAGATATATAATTTTTGATTTATCATATTCAAGTGCACTTATATAATTTTTTTTTTATACATTTCTAAAAAGAAAATTTAAGAGAACATATATTTTTTATACATATAATAATCAAGTGCTATTTACATGGTTTTGTTGTTTGCTTTTCTTTTTTTTCTATTTTGGTTTTTTTTTTTTCTGGGCCAGCAGCTGTTATAATAGTCTATCTCTTATCAAATTAGATTTGAGTTTAAGGAATTTTTTTAAAGTCAATTTTATAGGGGCCCACAATATGAGGTATAATTTATAAATATAATGTCACATCAAATTAATAAATATATATTAATTTATTTTAAATAAAAAAATTAATAATAAAATATTTTATATAATACGACATAACATGAAATTTGTGATGTATATACAATTATTTTTCTTGTTACCTATAATTTGAATATTGTTATTTATCTAATGAATGGTTATGTTAAATTAATAACCATATTTTTGAATTGAAAGAAATAGAGGAGGGGATGCCTCTTTCCATTTCTTGATCTTTCTTTTACTTCATTTGTACAAGTAAGTAAATTAAAAAAAAAAGTAAATAATTTTCTTTTATATTTTTAATTTTTTTATAATTAAATAATAAAATTTTTCCTCTTTTATATTTCCCTCAATTTAAACATACCAGGAAATTGATGATGGATTGACTTGAATAGTTATTATTTTTTTAGCGTACAATTCAATTATTACAGTATTGATTTAAGATTGAAACACCCGTTCTCCGCTTAACAGTCAACACTGGCTCAAATAATAAAAGAGCAGTGCTAGGGGCACTCGCCTTCTGCACTCTCCGGCCAACACTCCCCCTTTCATTGGGCCACGTAAGGTTGTTTAAGCTCTGGAGTGGAACCTCTTCGAACTAAAATAACGTGGCCCAATGAAAGGAGGAGTGCTGGCCGGAGAGTGCAGAAGGCGAGTGCCCCTAGCACTGCTCATAGTAAAAAAGCTATCCAAAGATTAGATTAATCCGAGGCCCCTTCTGTAAAACGGGCCCAAAGCCCATTTGTCTATAGAACGGCTCAACAGGAGCCCGTTTAGCATATGACCCATGCTTCATTGGTTTGAGCTGGCCCGAACTTTTTTCTTCTCGCCCCATCTTGGGTCGCATCCAAACATAAAAATCTCTGGGGTTTTAACTCACGCTCGGAATCTGGCACGTGTGACGGGATAGTATTTTTCCGACCCGTATCCTGACACGACACTTCAAAACGGAAAAATCACTAGGGTTTTAGATTTCTCAAAATTTAAGGAAAAAAAAGAGCGGGAGATACACTCGATCACTCTTCATCATCTCACTGAGTTCACTCTCAGTTCTGCTACTCTTCTACTAGCTTAACAAACCAATTCCCCGAGCCGACTCACCGGAAAATGCCCGTTGGTGTGCGGCAGCTGACGGTGCTCGGCGAATTCAAGCCGTTTGGCTTAGTCGCGGAAGCTCTAGACGGGAAGCCGCCCGGTGATTTGAACGATAAATACGATTATTTCCTCTTCGATCCGGATGTCGTGAGAGAACGAGACGAGAATGACGAGAATGAGACCTCCAGATCGGCGCTCAGTGACCGCTGCGATCACGAGCTCTTCATTAGAGGAAACCGGTAAATTTCTGCTTTGCCAGCTGCAAAAAACATCTAGATTCAGATTATATAATGTGTTTTTTGACTTTTCTCCAACAGTATAATATGGAGCACTGGTTCAAGAGTGTTTAAGAGATTCACCTTGCCTTCCCCAGTCATCAAGGTACAGGGATCATTCATCTTTTCTGTTTCCTGTCCCTTTTTTGAACTCGATTTCTTTTTAACAGCTACATTTTGCAAATTCTAGGCATGCTGGTGCCGAATGAGTGACATGTCTGAAGCACTTCTTTGTGTCTTACAAATTGATTCCTTAACAATATACAAAACATCAGGTGATGATGAAGAAGTGACGTATTGCTCTTAAGATAATGCATAAGTGATTGTTTATTAGAAGGCATTTTGTCATATTTATTGCAAGAGCTTCAAATTCTTTTCACTTGTATTGTGTTACAGGTGAAGTTGTACCAGTTCCTATTTCACGTACAATCACATCGATTTGGCCTCTTCCATTTGGGTTACTACTCCAGCAGGCTTCTGAAGGGAACTCATCAACACATGCTTCTTTTTCATTTTCAAGCCCTTCATTAGGCTCACGTGAAATGTCTCGTGTCAGAAGAGAAACTGGATACAGCCCACAACGTAACTTTAATTTTAGTGCGTATGATTATATTGGCAGGGGGGAATCAGTTTCAGTTTCCTCACACCTGATTCTGAAGGATCCACTGGAAGAACCACGGGTGTGTAATAGTATCCAC